TGGGCCAGTACTGCCCTGTTGCAGTGCCAGGAGCTGGCAGAGGGCTCTGGAGAGAGTAGGAGAGCAGGAGAGCAACACTGCTGCAGGAAAAATGAGGGGAGTGCTGAGACAGCCAAGAAAGAAGAAATAGGAAAAAGGAGGAAAAAAGCAGAGGTAAAAGGAGAGAAGAGTGGAAAAGGGAGGTGGCAAAAGAAATGAAGACACAGAACGAGGGGATGGGGGAAAATGAATAAACAGCAGAAAACAAGGAAGAGTACAGAGGAAGCAAACTAATGGAGTTAAAATCCATCATCGGATTAGCAGAGAGAGAGAGAGCAATTCCTCTTGGCTCTGGAGGTGCTGAGCTGTGGGAGGGGTGCAGACTTGCTGCTGGGGGCCTGCTCTGAGCAGCAGCCTTTGCCGGGGGGCGGGCAGTGGTGCCAACAGGGGGGAGGAAAGCCCCTGCATCTACAGAGTTAATAAAAAAGCTTTCAGACTTCAGCAGACTGGCTAAATTAGGCGGAATATAAAGGTGCTGTATTATTTCTCAATACAGCAGTGGTATGAAAGGAGGCAGTGGGTTTCTTTTGAAGCAGCTGCTGTGTAATCCAGGGCTTTCAGGTGTACTTCAACCAAACCCTCTCCTGGTTTCAGCAGGTTAACTTCATTAAAAGCTCCATCTACTGCTTTAATGTTCACTAAAATCCCACTGGGTGGGTACATTAGGCAGAAATAACCCCCACAAGATGATTGCATGCTGTTGTTTGGCACAGTGAATGGACCTGGAATGGGAAATGGAGGAGGGGAGCAGGGCTCACAGTGACCAATGCTGGAAGGACAGATCCTGAGTTGCTGGAGTGAGCCAATGGGCCTGGCCTTTTCTCTAAGGACATCAGAAGCCGCTGCAGCAAAACCCCAAGCCTGCAGGGAGCCATCCCTCCTGACCCCATCTCCACAAATAATGTGCTTGGTTCCCTCTCTGCTTTGATATGCTCCTTCTCCACGCACTCACTGGTGCTGGCCCAACAACGAGGAAGCTGTTGATCCTCCACAGCTTCTCTTCACCTGGAAAGAGGAGACCATGGAGCTGTAAAGGCCATCTGCTCCTCCAACAGACCCTGGCAATTCTGTGGGCTTTGCTACCGAGGGCTTTGAATGGAGCTCGAGTTTCTTACCCCACTGTAACTGTGAGGTGCAGTTAAGTCTCTTGAAAAATCAAATAACCTCTTGCTAGTATGAGGTGACCCAAGCTCTGTGTGTTCAACTGCTAAAAGCACCCAAAATGGCCCAGTGACCATGGTTCCTACCCACAGAGCAGCACATGGTCAGCTTCATGCTGGAGAAGTTCCAGCTGGACCACACTCCAGTTAGGATCAACAGCAAATTTTCCACAGACTGAATTAGAGGGATCCATTTGTGGACCTCTACTCAGTTACAGCCACAAACCAAGGGCCTCATTTAAAGACTGCTGAAGCTGGTGGGAGTTTATCTATCAGCTTCACTGAAGACTGGATGTGACCCAAGTGGTTGAGCCCTGCAAAGCCAGCATGACATCTTTAACTGTTGAGTGCTGCTGTTGGCTGCTGGCGGGCTGGCTCCCATGGTGTGAGTGTCATGTTCTGTAGTCAGCACTTACAGAGCTGCGTGCTCAGTGTTAGAAAGGGCCATGCCACAGTCTTATTAAAACACCTCCTTAAAAATCCACAAATTCTTAAACCAACAAGTCACTTAGACCCCCCCCTCTCTTGAAACTTGGCAAATAGATTCTTAAGACAGAAGCTGTTTCTTTTTTCTTATAAACAAAATGCCATTACCATGCTTTGGCTCTTGGCTTGATAGATCCTGGTAAGAAAATGCATGTGTATATTTTAAAGGGAATTCTCCATTGCTTATCATGGTTTAGCTTTTGACCTCACCCTTCTTCCCCCTCCCTCCCCATGCCCAGGCGCATTCCGGCATTGACTTCCATGGTGGTGGTAAGTTGCACAGCCCTCCCAGCAACTGGGGTTAGACACTCCCTCCAGCAGATAGCACATTCTTCTGGAGCACTGTCATGGGGGAAAGCCTTGAGCTATGAAAGGTTTTCTTTCCCTTTTAATCTATTATTTTCTTTGATGTTCATTTTAAAATAAATTATTATGCCTTATTTGTATTATAGTACCTGGCTGTACAAGGACTGGGACCTCTCTGCTGTCCAAACAGAGAGTCAGAGACAGTTCTTGCCTCAAATAGTTTACAATCTGAAGAGACAAAGCAGACAAAAACCAAGAGCCAGATACAACATGGATGACAAGCCTGTGGATTACTTTTGCATTTAGTTAAGTTGTAAACTGTTGAGGGAGAGATTGCCATTTGACTACGCCTGTGAAATATCAGAGGTAGAAACTTCTGATGCTGCTGAATACCCAGTTGTTTGGAGATGGGTTTTTAACACAGAACACTTAGGTGATGATGTCCCAGAAAGTCAGTGATTCCTAAGGGCACCACTGCTTTTCACTTGATGTCACCTAGCATAGGTCGATGACCTCAAAAAGCAATCTCATAACAGAAAAAGCCATGTATAATCTGCCAATAAAAGATAGATGAGAACAGATCTAGAGGATCCCAACTGATAGCTGGAAGCCAGGCTGAGCTATTTTCATCATAGCCAAGCACTCCTGTGTTTTGAGAACATTTCAAAGCATGTTTGGCACAGAACTTAAGTACATGCTTACCTTTCTAAAAATTTCTTAGTGTTGCTATGAATTTATTGGAGACAGCTCTGCTGGATGTATCAGCTGAAGATCATCTTCATAATCCTCCCTTTGACATATGTACACATTTCAGGTCAGACCTCACATTTACGCCGCTTCCTAGACAAGAAATCTCTGATCTTGTAGGAGCTCTGCTGTGCTTCCTTTCCTTTTCTGTGAACGTTTTGAGTCACAGCCCTTTCCCTCTGGGGAAGGACTGAAGAGTAGATCTTTTTCCCAGGAGGTGTCACCCCTCACTCCTCAGGATCCTGCACAGAGACTCCACTGATTTTCTAGTGTAACTTCTCATGGAAATCAATGGTGCTGACGCTGCTTCACAGTCAGTAGGGTGGCACAGAAGTCTCAGGCCTCAAATAACTACACTAGATGGTGCTCCAGGGAACTGGGACCTGAAGGACAACAGTCAGGAAGCAGACCATTTTCTGGGCAGCTCCTACAGCAGGGCAGTGTTTTCACTCTATGCTCAGCTGCCTTCACAGGGCATTAGGAGCGTGTAGCCCTCTGCAAATTCAGAGTGCGCTTCTCAGAAGTTCAAACTTAGGGCTTAGCAGCAAGAATTTTCTTACGTAAAAAATGCATTAAAATAACTATTATCAAGCACTCCGAAATGAGGCGGGGGGGGGTGGTGTTGTGGCCATGCAGCTTCAGATTCAGAGAATCAGTAGGTTCTTTTGGTCTTTCTGAGCCAGACAAGTGACCCAGGACCCATCCCAGTGTAACCCTGTGGGCAGTACTGGACCTTTCCTGTGGCAGTACCAGACCTTTACCATACTTTGTTTCATTTCCACGTGAGCAAAGTGGCACTGCTAATACCTTTCCTCTCCCATCCCTTGTCTAACTTGTCTGCTTGATATTGCACTCCTGAATGGTCTCTCCTCATGCACAGCACAGTGGGTCCAATGGCAACTGGAATACAAACGATCCTCAGTTACAGGTTTTCCTTTTTCTTCCTCAGTGTGCTACATTTATCAGCACCAACCATGAGCCCAGCACTGTCAGGCTTTCCCTTGCTCTCAGCACCTCAGAGCATTTGGGTTCACAAATCTTGCTATTAATAATACATTGTGCAAAGTTGGTACAGAGCTCAAAGTTTTCCATGTGTGTGCTGCAGTTTGATTGTAACTGCGGGTATCATTATCATCAAAGAGACTGAGGAATGGCAGCTTTTAGTTAAACAAATGGAAAGCTGTATTTAGTCTCTTTTGCCACATTGTGATAGGAAAGAATAAAGGCTTTTAAATATATTTTACAGCTGCCGTTTCTTAGGTTTTTCTGCCTTACAATAGTCTTCATGATTCTGACTGGGAAGTTGTTGCAAAAGCTTTTTGTTTTTAGTCCTCCTATTGAAATAATACATATTAATTGTCTCATTCCTGAGTTTTTTGTTGTGGTTGGAATTTCTTCTGCGGGGGGAGGAGGAGGGACGAGCTGTAAAGCATCAACAGCTGAGAGAGGATGCCCTGGGTGTGCAGTGAGAGAGGAGGCTTAGATAACACACTGCTAGCAGAGCGTGAAGGAGAAGAAATGTCTCCTAGAAAGTGAGAAGACAATTGGCAGAGGAGCCCGGGTCTCTTTGTGAGGAGCAGGGCAGAGGCAGAGCTGGGAAGGGGGAGCTGAAAGAGCTCAGCAGGGAAGCCAGGTGGGAGCAGGGACAATGCTACAAAGGAGCAGCATGAAAGCATAGTCTTTGATGAGAAATAAGACCTGGACTCGTCATACTGTGGCCACCAGAAATGAATATCAATGAAGCAATTAGTTCTGTGAACACTGGGACAAATGAACGCTGCTTTCCTAGAGGTGCTTAGCATGTGGTTGGATCCACGGATGTTTAATAAAAGTTCAACTCAGGTTTTTGCTGTCATGATGGCACTAACATGGTCCCTCTGTCCTATCTCCCCTGCTCTTTTTACAAATCTTGCAGGAGATTTGTATTTCTGATGAAATTGCCCAATGGTTCAAAAGTTGCTGTGGCAGAAGCAGAGAAACACATGGCCATATACCATATATAAGCCTCTTCCTTAGACACTTAAGCTAAAAGCATGTCATTTTATCCTACTGCTTGCAACACAGTGCTATCCCGAAGGGCTACAGGTAGTTTAGGAAAGCCATTGTGGTTGCAGTTATCCTGTTTTACATGACACAACACAGAAATACTAGACCCATTTCAGGCAGAGCAGAGGTCCCCATGCTCCTCACCACCACTCACTTTGTTCCTCTGTGCTCTAAGAAACATTTTGACCTCTCACCTGCTGAAAAACATGAAAGCAGTGGCTTTCTCTTCCAAATGCTAACCACAGATGCCCAGAAAAGTCCATGTGAGCTCTCTTCTTCTCTCAGCTCAGTCCCACAGCACAGCCACAGGTCCCATGCACGCCAGGTTCTGAGGGGCTGTCACCCAGTAGAGACTGGTTACAGTGCTGATGCCAAACAGAAGGTGAGCAGCAAAGAAGCCCCATCTGTTAAACACATGAAAGGTGAATTGACGTGAGCTCAAGCCAAGTACTGAAATGTAGCTGTGAATCTGAAAGCTTTGTTCCAAAGAAACGAAGTCCCACTTTAAAACAAGTCCAAAAAATCCCATCCTGCTTCCATTGAAGTCAATGGCAAAATTCCCACTGGTTTAACCAGGAACAGAATCAGGCCGTTTCTAGACAGATTTACAGCCAACACATGCTGTAACGCTTGCAAACTGCATGTGCTTACTTCTATTTCCATCCATGTTAAAAAATTATAGCAAATGCCTATGGATTTGTGCACATGAGTTATTGTGCTGCTAATGAGAGGAAGAATTACCCGAACATGGTTTAGATGGTCATCTGTTGCCAGCACAGATGAAATTGCTGGGTCATTCACCGGTCTTGTAAGCTGTTCATCCCATTAGCTTTTCCATTAGAATTATTGCAAAATGTAACTCAGTTTCTTTTTTTTTTTTTCTTTTTTTTTTTTTTTTTTTTTTTTTTTTTTTTTTTTTTTTGATGTAGAGGGGACTGTGTTTGTAATTAGTGCACCTAAGGAACTGAAACCTAAGCTGAAGGCACAGTCTTGTGCCACACTGCAGCCACTAATGGGACACTCCTCTGACAGGAACACTTCTGCTTAACTGGAGCAGTAGAAGTTCTAGGTATAGAAACAAACAGAAACAACTTCTCGCAGCTGAAGGCCTCTACACTTAACGCAACACGCTCATGCACTAGAAAGCTTTGCCTAATTCTTCCCCACATGCTCCTTGCTTTGGGCAGCTGAGTCTATCCCTCTTAAATATTAAGAAGTTTGCAGCCTAAACCTCACACAGATCTTGTTTTTCAAAAACGCTGCCTGCAATGAGTGGATTTCTGCTGCTGTTTGCCAGTCCCTTTGATAACTAGACCTCATGTTCTTTGCAGCTATCATTAAAAAAAAAAAAAAAAAGAAAATCATTGCATGGCTGAAGCTTCCCTCCCCTCACTCCTCCCACTCAGAAAAAAACACCATCTATTGTTTTCCTGTAATTGATCAAGCATAAACATTCAGCTCTACAGTTTTACGACTAATCACTCTACTTTTAAGGCACGTGTTCGCAGCTATGCAAGGCACCAGCTGCTGTCATTCCAATGGATATTAATTTATATTGTCTCCCACTCCCGTCCTCCCTGTGAGGATGCACAAAGGGAGTCGGGTGGTGGTGGGGGCTTTAGATGAAGACATCTGCTTGAAAGGCAGACAGTAGCCATTCTGCTGAGATTGCACCTGGACTTTCACTGGAAAATCAGACACACTAGTTGCTTCCTGGCACTCCAGGCTTCAGTAATCACACAGGGTTTTGACTACAGTTATTTACTTATTTACCTCTCTCCAAGGGAAATGAAATGTCTGGACAGAGGGAGTGTAGCAGATTTCAGGAGCAAAACAAAGCTGATTGAAATAAAACATCACAGACGTGTGGTACAGCAGCAGGGGGGCGAGGAGAGGGAAAGCTGAAGGCTCTAATTTTGTCCCCTGCAAAGGTTCTTTCATGATGGTTGGCTATGCTGGAGAAGCTAGCAACTGCCTGGGCTTGTGAGCAGGATGAACCTGCTATCTGTAACCTTGGGAGGAGGATGTGGAGAAGAGGAAAGAGGACTTGTTGGTTGTCCTTCTGTGACATCTCACAGAGACAGAGCTCAACACTGGTGGCTTGAGCCGGTGGCCCTGCTGCAGCATACAAAGTTTGTCTCCCTCTCACCCCACAGTTATCTCCCAATAATTGAACTTAAAAGCATCACACACAAATTCACAAACTCTCGCTGTCTGCAGTGTGATGGCCACAGCCCTGCACACAGTGGGCACATGGGAGGCTCACAAACCACCATGGAGTCTGCCACAGATCTCCTGTGGGGTTGCTGTGAGCTGCTTCTCCTTCAGCCAGCACCCTGGGGTAAAGCCCTGAGCACAGGGACGTACCTAGAGAGCCTGTTCTGCTAAAGTATTCAGATGCTATCTCGCAGATAAAACAAAGCTGAGGGCTTGATTGTAAGGGATATGAAAGATTTCTTTCTCCTCAGAATGGGGCTGTTTCCCAATCCCTTCATGTTTGGCAATCAAATACCAATGTAACTGGGGTCACATTACACTATGGCTGTCAGCTCTAAGTGCATACTGTGTTTTTCATGTCCCATCCTGGTCTGCTGTGTTGTGTTGCTGTTTCCCCCACAGAGGCAGCACTTGAAGACTTTTCCTTATTATTTGCCTTGTGATTTTGCTTTGAAGCCCTGATCGAGGCTTGGATCTGGTGCTATCACATCCTATGCAAATGACTAGTGAAAAGTTTACTAAGCAAAGAAGTTGGTTAAGCAGCTGTTCTGTGGCATTTAATTACACTAGTAAAGAGCTGAGACAGTAGTGTGCAGTTCAGATGTGAGGTGCTGTTTGCCCAGACTTCCTGCAGCAATTTTTCAAAATAAAGAACTCGGCTCAAACTGGAGACATATTTCACTCCTTTTAAGATGTGGATAGACATGAAAGTTTGGCATTCTTTTTTTTACGGTGTCTGAGCAAGCAGGGTTTCTGAGACAAATCTAAAAATCCTTTCTTGTTATTACATTACATGCTTGAATTCCCACTGCTGTATACCACATGAAGTCACTTACCCTCTGCGAATTGGTGTAAAATACTGCTTCTGGTGCAGAATTCATATCTAGGCATGCTTTATTTTTGACCAAGGTAAATGAGAATGTGGGTGTGACATCTTTCTTCCCTGTTTTTTTTTCATTAACTTAAGCTGAACCCATTGATTCTTTTGGTCACCTCAGAGCCTGTAGTTATGGGAGGTGACATAAGCATTTTGCTTTTGCTCTGCAAAATTTGCTCCGTTCCCTGAGCCCATGGCTTCACTCCTCTACTCTCCCCTCAGGTCTCCAGAGATCTCTGCTTCCCCAGGGATGTGCTGGTCCTGGGGCACCAGCCATGTGAAATGTTAGTATTCCCTCTACATATACACCTTTAAATAAGTCAAGGTATTTCGGATAGAAATGTTATTTTTAGCATCTCTGTTCCTTTGCCACAGCCACTGTGAGGAAGAAGCTGAGGAGCACTGACCGTTGTGCCATTAGACAGTTTTGATTGACTAGTCCTACTAAAATGTATGACTCCTCAAAAATTACGCTGGGAAGTAATACATTTAAACAGACGCTCACCACCCCCTTCTTTTCTATAAACAGAGAAGACATCTCGAAGGGGCAGGCTGCAGATGGTATTGCTTGTCTCTTAGTGACACTCGTATCCCAGGTTGAAGTTTCATGGGTAATTGTACCCAGGCCAGTGGAAAGACAATATCTCTGATGTAGCATCCATTTAAGGGGCTGCTTTCTAGCTACACTCTTAGGCAGAGACCAAAGGTCTCGAGGCAGATCAGGGAAGAGTCATATCTTGCAGTCTCATGTTCCCCAAAACTCTTCCGCTGGATTTCTCAGTTCATTACCCACACTTTCTGTCAAGGTTGTTCAGATTCCTAAGAGCTCTGAGTCAGATGATATTGGGATGATTTACTGAGGGTATGAGATGACAAACAGACTGGCAAACTTTTTCTTGCGGCCTTGGCCACTCAGACAGCTTGGAAAGAGCTTGGGGAATGAAAATGGCTACGCTACGAAACATGCATAGCACAAACTTCCACTGCTCCAGCCTGTTCTATCTGCAGCTACACAGAAATCCTCACAGAGCATGTATACACTGAGGGGAGAAGCAGATTTTTTTTTTTTTTAATATTAGATAAACTCCTAGATGTAAAGCAGGATCAAAATCTCAGAGTTTGCCCATACCTTGCTCTGTTTACTGCACCCATGCAATACAACTCTGTGTACAAACTTGTATTTGAAACAACAGTTGCCTTTTTTCTGCTTACCTGCATTTTGGAGTGCCAGTGATTTCCGTGTGCAGCCAGTGCTCCCCTCCATGCAAGAATCTCTCTCTTGAAAGGGTTAATTGTGTTGTGTTTGTAAAGATCTTGGAAAGCTCCATTCTGCAAGTGCCAAATCATCTCTTTCTTGGTCTCACTTCCAAGCACTACAATTCTGTGGGCCAAATGCAAGTCACTTTTACACGTACCGTAGCTCAGTCCAAGGGAGAGTAAAAATGCAGCTGAGATCTCCAAGCCCTTTTCTATACAACACATGGCACCCTCACGCTCTGGGGCTCTTCTGCAGGAGGGACTCACATGGGTCAAGCTATTGAGGCACCAAGGCTATGGGGACACCTGTTTTAGGAAGGCACAGAACATCTGTAAAACAGCTACACTAAACACTTTATCCATCCTCCAGGGCCTCGTATTGCAGAGGTGGAAGGGGAGAATTTGACCCTCCAGGGGACAGGAAAATCCCCAAGTGCCCATGACTATGGACAGACTTCACAAGTGCCCAGGAGAAGTGGAATCGAAAAATGACCCTCTCTGCTCTTCCATCACTCTCCTGTCTTCCCACTGCCACCGACACCTCAGCATCTCTCCACTTGCGCCATGGCAAGAGGGGTCACAAGGGAAACAAGGAACCTCTTTCAGTGGCTTATCACAGGAGATGCAGACGAATAAGTGGCAGAAGTAGAAGGATGTGCTATGATGCCCAGCACTGCAGGGCTCAGAGTGGACATGGACCTGCTGGAGCCAGGAAAGGTTGGGAGGCAGGATCTGCCTGGGGAGGTTCCCACATTGCTCCCTAGACAGGGGTGAAAGGCTGTAGAAAAGAAGAGTGGAGGGCTGGGAAGGGGCCAGGCATGGTGCTGCAGCGGGAACCTCCTCCTAGTCAGTGTTCAGCCATGTTAGCAGCTCACATGCTTGACCCTGGCTGATCAAAGCCTCAATAGGACACTGCCTTCATCTTCCTGCCCTGTCACTGCCAGCGGGGGCACGAGTTATTTGTCTTTTGTGTGTGAGGCCCTCCTCCTGGGGACCTCATTTTCCCTCTAATCAAATAATCAGATGTGTTTATTGTTGTGGAAATCATGCCCTCCCCTGAAATGCCTGACCAGCAACAGCTTCCTGGCTTTGTCTGACGCCTGGATCCCACCTCTCTCCTGGTGTGGCCTTGGGGGGCTGCATGGGGGCAGCCAGCTGCTCACACCCAGCTCTGTTGTGCCTCGGAGGGAGGGGACCCCAGCAGACAGGAATAAAAATGCATCCACACGAGGGTTCCTCTCTTTAGGACCAACCTCTGCCAGGGGAGAAAATCAGCCACATCCCAAGAGGAGGTTTGTATACTCGGCGCTGGAACACATGAGTGAGGGAGAGGATAGTCACAAGGATGGAGCTTCCCCTGTCTCTGCAGAACTGGTTGAGAAGCCTGAAGGCTCTCCTTGCCTGGCCACAGTGGCTGTGGGGCATGCCATGCCAGCTGTGCCCCACAGCCGGTCCTGCAGCGCCTTCTTGCCCTTCTGCAGCCTTGGCTTGGGGGACGCTCTGCTGCAGGGCCTTGCTGCTAAACTGTCTCATCTCACAGGCTCTCTGCTCAGCCAACAATGTTCTTAATTTGTTTGCTGACCCCCTTGCCCCCTAATACACGTTTCATAATCCATATTTTTAAACTCTGATCCCATATCCTGTCAGGAAAAGAAATGTCCTGACTGCACAGCACCAGTCTGAATTTTTTGGGTGTTTTTTTTTTTTTGAGTTCTTTTCCTGTGTTTACAGTCTCACAGTGCAACATTTATTAATCTGAGGATAAGGACAACTTAAAACATCTTGGCTTGTGAAGGCTGACAGCAGGGGTAAAAGTAAACTGAGCCCATGGTCTGCGTAATAATCTGCCAGTGCTGGCACAAAGCGCCAGGGCAGCACGGTGGGGCCTGGGACACCCACAGGCAGCCCCTGGCAACCCTATTGCCCTCCCCTGCACACAGACCCTCTTGGCCATGGCAGGGGTCTCATGTTTGTCCACCTGAAGCTGAATCATTGTATCTGGAGCCTGCCTGCCTTGCACAGGCACCCACTCAATGTGCCTGTCTGTGCTTGGCATTTTTTGGGCCTATTTCATGTTTTCACCCCAATCAGCATTCTGGCTTGTGAGCTGAGGCTCTGGCTATAAAAAGTGCGGGAGAAGGATAAGATAGAGGAGAAAGGACCAGAGTGAAGTAATTGGAAATGTGGGTTTTTTTAAATAAATAAGAGATTTCTTAAAATAAAATAAAAAGGCTTAGCAAATTAAAGCAGACAAGCAGGTTGCTTGGCCGCTAGAGAATAAACCTGAACATCCTGGGCACACAAAGCATCAAAGCATTCCCCAAAGTAGAGAGCCCTGAGAGCTGCCCTCTGGGCTTGGTACCCTGACCCAGTCCAGTGAGGCTGTCAGTAAAGCCTGCTTTCATTCCTGCTCCTGAGAGCACATGGACACGCATGTGTGCCCAGGGCAGTCTCGTCCCCAGGCTCTCTCAGGATGGGGCTGCTGATGGGTGTGTCATTGGCTCTCTACACCTAAAGCACAAATCCAGCTGGACCCAACCTCACTGAAATCCATGAGAGAACAAGTGCCTCTTGTTCAGCATTAACATCCAAGAGGAGACATGTAACCAAACAGCCAAAACAAAAGCTGCACTCCTCGAAACACTGCCCCAAACACTGCCCGTGCAGGCCAAGGGCTCCTATTGTTCTCCCACAGTCTGCAGGGCCAGGGAGGACCTGAAGCTCAGCTGGCAGACAGGCTCCTCTCTCATCTCTGAGGCTCGAGGAGCACCAGCCAAATACCACTGCTGCGGGCCAAGCCCATGAATGATACAAACTGTGTTGCAGGGTGACATGAATCATTTGCTGGCATCTCTGAGCCAGCCCCTTCCAGCACGACAAAAAACTCCAGAACACCCACCATGACAGAGATGAGGCTGTGACAGTGAGCACCCTGACCCTGCCTTAGGACCTGCTGGCTGCCTCCTCGCTGCCCCCTGTCCTGCTCTCACAGGAATCCTGGGGAGCAGCCCTCTGACCCGAGGAAGCCCAAGCAGAACCTCAGCATGCCCTGCACAGCTGGGCCCATGACTGTGCTGCCTCCCTGGCACTCTGTATTCCCAGATCATGGAGGGGCTTGATGGGTGTGTTACCTCTGGTCTGCAAGAGGGAGAGGAGTCTCAGGGATCCCTGGTGACTCCGTGTGTGAGTAATCCCAGGAAGGAGAAAAAACACAACCTATGTGAAAACTCAAATTTTCCCCTCCTTTCCTAATGCTAAACACAGAAGAAAGTCCACAGGCGAGAGTCTCAGGAATTCAAACTTGGTGAATGCTGTCTCTGCTCTCAGGAAACTTGGCCAGAAGTAAACGTGCAGAGGAATGTAACTGCTGCAGAAGTCGGTGCTTGACTTTTCAAATCCAAGACCCTAAATACAATGCACTATGGCTGTGATTTAGTGTTCTTTTCTTTTCTGTTTTGCAGCAGTGGCAGTTTAACCACACTCCAACCCATCCTAAGCCCCCAGCCTTGTTCCCCTCACCGCTCCATCTGCTCTGTTGTGCCATCAAAGCAATTTAGGGGACTGAGTTGGGAAATGATCCATGTCAAAAACAGCCCAGCAAAGAAAAAACAAGTCAGTCTTTTTTTTTTTTTTCAATAGCAGTTCAGTTACCTTTGTCCTTTCACAGCAATGAAAATCCCTACAATTGGGGAAGGAGAAAGGACATGTGGATTGTGATGGAATCAAGTGCTAGGAGGGAGGGATGGGGCAGGAGGGGTAGCCTGGCTGCACAACTGCATTAAATGTATGTTGGACTGAGGCCTTATTGTCCTCTTGTTATTTATAAAGAAAAATGACTGGCCTGGAGGGCTTATTTACAAGAGGGGAGAGAGGAACAAAGAAGGAGGGAAGCAAGGAAGGACATTCTCCGTGGTCAGGAGGATGTGTGCATATGCCTCTGTGAACAGACCAGGAACACCCTTCTTGAACCTAACATTCCACTAACTGAATTAGCTGAGACTTATTTGGCAGAATTTGAATACAGAGGTGGAAACTGAGCATGACTTAGAGTGCCTTTGATTTCCTCTTCTTGCCAAAATAACCAGTAGACTGTCAGGCAGCAGATTCACGCAGTCTCAGAGCAGCCTCATGTCTGCTCTAACTTATGCTCTGGTTTCAATCTCCCTAGAGGTGCCACCCGCTCTTCCCATCCTGGCCAGGCCAGTGAGTGTGCTGCTGTTACACCACAGTGCCTGTCCAGGAGTGCTCACCACTGCAGCAGCCTTGCAAACCCTTTCCACAGCTGGGGCAGGCACCTCCCTGCAAACTCAGCCCACCTCTGCAAATTGGCACTTACAGGAATGCAGGCATTGGAGTTACATGTAGCATGTGGAAAAGCTGGTCTGTCTGGAAATTTCCTCCTTGCTTTGCTGTGCGTGGCTCAGTGGGTCTGTACAATCATCCACTCACGAACCAGCTGGTCACCGTTTATATTGCATACATCGCTGTACCTACTGACTCCTTCACAGAGGGGGAATGGCTAGAAATAAGTTAGAAATAAGTTAGACAAGTAACCTTGCTTTTACATCAAAAGCTGCAATACCTAAGTGTGTATGTATATATATATATATGCATGTATGCATGTATGCATGTGCATATCTATACCTAGGAGGAAGTAAAGGCTGGTTTATTTATTTTTATTTACTTATGAACTAGTTTCTTCATATTTTGTCTATTTTGTATTATCTTTTTATTCCTAGAAAAATTATGGCAGATGAAACCCCTTAAAATAGTAGCTTGCTAGTTTGAAAATCTAGGCTGCAATTTTTTATTTTTTTTTGCCTTTGTACTCTGGATTGAAGGATGTGATGTAGGAAAACTCCAGTTTAACAGAGCCTAGAGATTAAATCAGGTAAGGTTTTGGCAGAGAAGCAGCTACTTCTTCCTAACCAGTATCATGAATTCAGAGAAGAATGGGGTAGGTTTTAATATAAGTTTATTTTTCTTGCAATGAATTTTAATTACAGTTTTTCATGACTGCTTCTGTGATTCATAAGAGAAAATTAAAAACCTACACCTTGAAACTTACACGACAAAGCTGCTAACATCTCGCAGCTCCTGGCATTATCTTGGAGAACCCTTCAGTCCTGTTTCTATGCCACATTGTTTTCCACACAAAATGTATTTTAAATATAAAACACTGAATGTTCATTCCTTCTTTATACCATTTTTATTCATTATGTGCTGGAGGCAAAGGGCATGCTTTTATATGGAATCCTCACTGAACGTCTTATTTTGCAATTTTACTCTACTGTACATATTTCCCAATAAATTATTTTCTTTCAGATGCAGATATTCTCCTGGAAAAGTGAAGCAGGGCTGTTTCCTCTACACAAAAGTTTTTCTTTGCCATGAGCACAGCCAAGTTGTCTGGCTTGGGTTAGTTTGTCAGGCATATTTTGGGAATGGTTTGAGAATTAATTCTGTTTAAAGAACTATAATCACCTTTTTGGCCCTTGAAAGTGGTTCAGGATTTTTGTGCAAGGCCAGCAATAAAACAGCTTTTGCACATGTCAAAGGCTTGTTCTAGACAAGCAAAAAGACGGTGGAGATAAAATCTGTATCTTTCTTGCAATCTCTATCCACAAAGCAACTGCTTCCAAAGCGGCTGCAGCTTGTCCCTGGATGTAAGGAAGGCAGAGTCCCAGCCTGCACTGTGTGGACGCTGGCCCTGGGGGCCGCGTGCCTTGACTCTGTATCGCTTTCAGGTGCCAGTAAAATTACTGGTGTTGGTTACCTATACTCACAGATGGAGCAAGGCTTCTCAGTGGTGAAGGCAAAAGTTGTGTTTGGAGGTCGTCATGGCTTTGGGGACACCAGAGATCAGGGGGAACTGTGGATGGAGGAGGCAGTTAGGAAATGAGACTTTGTACTGTTGATGGTACCTAGGGAGGTGAACGGCGGTGTGTGCAGAGCAGGCGGTGAGATCTGGGTGCCAAGATGAGATCTAGGGGAGGGGGCAGTGATGTGTGACGAGTGTCTCTCTCCCCATAGTGGTTGATGGGTTTCCTCACAATTCCTACTTGCCCTTCTGCTTCCTCCCTCAGGCATGGGTAGCTTTGTGCTGCAAACTGGTTTTGACTCTGGACATAGTGGAGGGGTCTGGGATGCAAAACAGAAATTGGGGAGCAGCAGTCAGTGTATGACAAAGTGCCACCTTCCTTGTTGGTCTGTGAACTTCAAACATCTGGGACAATCCCCTCTTCTTCCCACCACTTATTTCCTTATTTTCAGGTCTGATGCCCCCCCAGCTTCCCTTCCCCTTTCCAACCTATTTTAATTTCTCATCCCTTTTCCTTTGCTCCAGTTGCCTCTCCTTGTCACTTCCTACTCTATTTTCTCTCACCTCTCCTTCCCCATTCCCAGAACAATCCTGTCTCTCTGGTTGCCTGTGTCAGACATTCTCTTCCAGCCCATTGGGAAAACCATCAGCCAAGATGGCCTCCCTGGAGCAGATCCTGTGCTTGGGAATTAGGATCCCTTCTCAGTCTTACTTGTTTCCCCACTTTCCCAAGGCATGCCTCAGTGCCTCCACATCTTCTCTGCAGGGAGAAGCACACAAAGCATAGGGAGTCTGAGCAACCTCCTCAGGAGGCCTCCAGAGCCATTGAGCCAGAGGCCTCAGGGACTTATTAAAAGCCCTGAATGCCTCCTGGGAGGGTGCAGGAGCAGCTCAGCTCTACTTCAATCTTGGTAATGGTATTTTGCTTCCTGAAAGCCTCCCAAGCAGCACAGCTCTTCATGCCTGAGAGGCTTCTGTGCTGTACCCTGCGTATTGCTCAACTGCTGCCACGTTGCAGCAGGTCAATGCATTTCTGCTGGGGTAACCCAGCTCTGAGACCCTCCATGCAGAAAGGCACTACATCCCACTCTGCTCACAGAACAATACAGGTCTCAGGAGGGTGCAGTCTGGTTCATTAAAATTAATTAACAATCAAATGGCTCCATATACTTCTTTATGCAGACAGAGCAGTGACTGCAAAATAGATTTTCACTTGAGCCCAGGTCCCAAGGAAGTGAGCGCTGTCATGGGGAAACCACAGGAGATCACTGCCAAGGCAGAAGGACCACCATCTGAAACTGTGCTCACTGAGTTTCCAGCTTCTAATACCACTCCTACTTTATCTTTTGCTACTCTTTGTACAGTTCCAGCAGAAATAAAAACAGGTATCATTTTTATTTGTCCAGTTTTTAGCCTGCACTTGTGAGTGCAAGTTATGACCTCATAAATTCTAAAATTGGCATCTATGTGGATTATAATTTAATACATGCTAAAATTGACTGACTATTGCCCCTGAAGAGTTTTGGCCATAAATACCAAGATCTGCATTTAAAATGTTTTGGAGTGTAGTACACATGTATTTTTATTGACCCATTACTGCAATTTCTGCTCTATCTTGTGCTGTAAACCTGCAAATTTCTGTCTCTCTGTTTGGTTCTTTCAGTCTTTCCTTTTTCTTTGTAGTAAACTAAAATTTCCCTCTCAGAAAGGGTTCATCTTCCTTCTCTTCGTTCTAGTGACTTTTCACTTAAGTATCTGCTATTTTGAAAAACTGCTCCATGTAACAAAACACTTGTCTGAATCTCAGTACAACCCATAGCTCTGATCCTACAAAGATTTATGCTTGTGCATAATCCGTGAAAAACAGAGTCAACAGCTTCGATCAAAGTACTTATGCACCTCAAGTTACGTACCTGTGCAGAACTTTCAAGGAGTCCTAAATCTCTGGCAAGGCAGTGCTGCAGCCATCCCAGCTGGCTCGACCTGGTACCTGCTACACGGCTGCACAACACCTCGGCTGACACCAACAGCAAGAGAAGAGCTCGATGTTGAGATGAAGCTGTCTGGGGAACTTTAGCAATGAACATGCAGCTGCCTAAGATGAAGTTCTCCAAGGTGTCAAGGGACTTCTCTCTCACTTCTCTTTTCATTCCTGGCTATGGAATCGGGATTCAGGCTCTACCACTGAAGACAATGAAGATTTGAGAGGGAATCAAGCTAAGCCCTGTGATGCATTTTTTTTCTACAGAGCACTGTATGGCTGTTGGTTCCCCCACCCATTTTTTTTTTTTTAAGAGTCATCTTACCAATTCTGATCCATCCTGGATCACACTTGATCTTCTAATACCAAATCACATCCAGGGCTGTGCTTGACTTTGTAGATACAAAAAAGAGAAAGACTCTACATACAAATACATAATCATATATAGTCTTAAAGCCTTTATTTTAATGCAAAATAAAACAGGAAAAATTTATATAGCCATATGTAACAAAAGATCAACATTTTTGACGTGGTACTAGAAAAAAACCTCTCGAATTATGTGTCAAATTTCTCCCCCAAAACAATCACACGTGATTTTTAAATCAGTTTCACTTACTTAAACACACAGGTATTGTCAGGATCATAAGCACCTCTCTCTCCCTCACAATAACAGAGTAGTTACAAAGCCTTCTCTTCTATGCAGACATAGTGAATAGTGCTTCCGATTTTGCACATAAGGCTTAAGGACCCTGCAGAACAACTGTGACGGAGGGCACAGGTGTGGGGCCCTTTGGAAGTGCAAAGCAGCCCCTGCTCAGAGCAGAGCGTCAGGATGTGGCCCTGGCAGAGCAGTCGGTAGGATTCACTCACAGCATTAACTCTCTGATAAACAAATCTGTGATGGTTGGGAGGAGGAGGAGGTAGCACAAGTCATCTGTAAAAAAATTAGGCAGCATGTGAAGCTATTTCTAGATCAGGAAGCTGGAGTGAATTGGAATTCAGGGCTGCATGCACTTTTTCAAGGCAGGAGCCTTTTTTTCTTTTTTTTTTTTTTTTTTTGATGCTTAGTTCTCCCCCTTTTTTTTCCCCAAAAAGGGCAATTGATACTTCTTTATGCATTCAAGGGGTGCTTAGAGACTTCTACATCATAATATATCACAGTGGTAATGTTGACTTACAGGCCAAGATCATGGCTCACTAGTGGGTGGTCACTCAGAAAATCCACAGGCTCTTTTTTCTATCTCTTAATCTTTCAACTGCTGGGCCTGGCTGGCCCCATGCCAGAGCCAGAAATGCAGGCTGCACGCCACCAGCTCAGGAAATCAAAGCTTCCAGCTTCACATGAGCACGGGCCTCTCTCCCTCTTGTCTTGACTCCTGTTCACATGCACACTTACAGCACGCTGATCCTGCGGCAAACCCAACTCTCCCTTCACACCCACCACGTCAGTAACTTTACTGCTGGACTGGCACATTTTGGATGAGGGAGTGTGAGGCAATTACGTGTCAAGAGCATTTCAGACTCATAATTTTCCCAAACATATGGACATATGGGGAAAAGAACAACTTGTTACTTAACGGCTCTTTTGGATTTTGCAAGTGTGTATTTTCAACCGTCAGTTGTAGCACCTCGTGAATTCTGCATGGTACATATTTTTCCACAATATGGTGCTAAAATCATACATTTTACACTGCAGAAAATCTGACTATATATACTGTAGTTACACATTATACTTTTGAAAATACTGTATCCCTACCAGATATTAAACCAGAAAACAGCAATTTTCTCCCAGAACAATGGCTCCAGGGATTGATGAGATGCTCTGTAATACTTTTTTGGTCTTGTTCCCCCAGCTAGGTCATACTGTTCTTCCTCCTTAGCTCCTTACCTGTAGGATGCATTCATATATTATACTTACAGCACTTCTTTTTTTTTTTTTTTTTTTTTTTTTTTTTTATTGGAAGAAGCTCTCCACTGAGTTCTGCTTACTGAGCAGAAGCATCATTTAATAACCTGTTGGGTAAGATTAACAGCTCAGAAGGTGTTTGTTTGATCTGTCTGCCTCAACTGAGTGGAGCCGATGCAGTCACGGAGAGCTCTTAAGGAGAGATTCAGGTTACGGGGAGACAATTGCACAGGTCCTTCAAAGGCTATAAATAACCCAGGAGCTGTTTTCATCCAGATTTTATTTGGCCCTGGCTCATGAAATACTGTAAATAAGTTCTGTTCACTGTGCTATGATGCCATTTGAAGGGTTAGTTCAGAGTGATTTACAAAGGCAGTAGCTTATATTCAGAGCTGTTCTTAATTGTGGCCTGGCTTGATAAAGCCACTGTCGCAAACATATTAGTTTCTTTACAGCTGGATCAAATGTATCAAGGGTTATATTTCAAGGAGGGAAAGGAAAGTATTTTAATTTGTTTTTGCTTCACTTTCAACAGGCCTTTATAACACCAGCAGCTATCCTGCGGCTGCCAGGTCCTGGCTGAGTATCCTACAGCATTTAAAACTCTCTGAGAGAAGTACAAGGCTGTGTAAAGCACGTACATGACAGGCAGAGTTTCCTTGGGGAATCTGCCTTATTTATGGAGGGTACTGAGAGACATCCAGCTTTACATCCAACGCTCCCTCCAGAGGTTTTTCCCTCCTACATTACTAGGGAAGAGGGCAGAAAGAAATGGAACAAGAATCAAACGCACTTGTTTCATAATCGGTTGCATTCCTCTCCCTCTCCCACTCCCACCAAAGCTTCCTCCTGACTGGGTTTAAAGCTGTGCCTGCCCCTACCCCAGGGAGTCCAGCCTTCCATCTGAATCACAAAGGTGCTCCCCCTACTCAAAAGCTGTCTCCTCTCCCCTGCTTCCCAGCCCGGCTGGTGGGTAGAGGCTGGTGTCAATGCAAACGCTAGAGCCTGCTGGCCAGTCAGGCAGCTGCAAGTACTCCTCATGCCTCAGGGATATGCCAGTCTCTCACCAACATCAGCAGCAGAGAAGAAACGTGGGCCGGGATTAAATGGTGCTTCTCATCAGGGTCATTACCTGTTGGTGGGAGACACTCCTAGCAGGACAAACCTTCCTGGTGATATTTAATACCTGGGAAATTACCTATGTGATTTAATCTGTTGCATACCAAAGGTGTCAAAAAGACATCAAAGAAATCCTTATGCTTAATCCTTGGCCAGGTCACAGTCTTTTCCTGATGAGGAGAGGAGGCCAAATGGTTTAGTAACACTGCCAAAAGGCAGAAGTCGAGGAATTAAGGACACTTGGAAATAATATATTTCTAGGTCACATGACTGCATGGTTTCCCTGTGACAAAATCCTTGAGACAGATCTCTATGCACTCACAGCCCTCTGGGGCCAGGTTGCACAGGCCCCTGTGGCTGGGACATGCATTTCTGACCTCTTCCCATGTTGGCTGGCTGCAGAGCAAGCTCAGGCGATGTGGGGCAAAGAGTCAGGCATGTACCCCAATGTCCTGTTCCCTTACCTGGCTCTGCTGCGCTGCTGGTGCCTTCTCCCCACCCTCACCTTCTCTTCCTATGCACCGATGCAAATAACTTGCTACAAACAGCTATTCTCTCCTCTTCCTCCTGGGTCCCAGGGTCTCAAAGGAGTTGCTTTCTTGTATTTTCCTTCCCCCCTTGCTGTGAAAAGCCCCTTCCCCCACTGACCTGATGGTTGCTGGCTGCAGGAACTCATAGTTTGGCACTTGGCACGGCAGGACCAGGCGCTGCCAGAGGCTGAGCTTCACTTGTGGACTGAGGGTGGCCCCACACCAACAGGTGCCTTCCCGTGGCAGCAGGCGGCCAGGGCACAGCACACTGCTGGCAGGCACTTGGCTGGAACACTGCCCTGATGGAGCCAAGGCAGCACTTAGAATGCTTAAGATACAGTAACTTAAGATGAATTGTGGAGTTCATGCCCACAGTCACCTCCTCAGCCACTTCTTACAGGCCAGCTCCACTGATACCCCAAGAACGACACTTCCTGACAGGAGCTGAGAATCTGATCTCCAGGGTTTACAATTAAAGAGTGCACACTATATAACTAAGGAACATTCACAAGCACACACACACAGACACAGTTCTCAGGTGGCTGGTTGGCTGCCTGTCCTCTGTGAGCCTGCCCAAGCATAGAGGATAAAGTTTTTTGTCTTACTCCGAATGCAGCAGTGCAATGAGACTCTTGATCACAAACTGCAAAAAATAAAGGCTACAAGATAAATGCTGCCACCACCAAAAAGAAAGAGGAAGACAGAGACCAGATGATAAATCTGGAACTGCAGCATCCCTAAAGCACAGAGCTGCTGGAATGTGGCCACTACTTCTGTGGTAGTCCCTTGTCAACTCATGATCACACACTGGATTACACAAGATCCCCAGCTCCATATGACATCCATACTGCATGCTGTGTTCTCACTTAAAAGGCTCTACAACAGCGCTCTGAAGTAAACTCTGGTGACTCTGCTGCCCTTACACAGACAGCTATGTACTGTATAGGTGTAACTGGATTCAGTAAATAGCCCTGAGGTGTATTTAGTGTTGTGTTTCATTTCCAGCAGCCACTTTCTATTTCTAAAAGGAATTAAAAAACACACAACTGTCTGGTACCTCACATACTCAAAACACTTCGTACCTCACGTGGCTTTTAGTTCGCCTGTTAGAAAGCACCTACGCTGAGCCCAGCTCAGTAAGAACGACTCCAGGTCTCGTGTGCCATTCTTACAGGCAGCTATGCTTGGGAACAATTCTACAAGGATGATGTCCGATGGGACTCCTCCTGGGCTCTGCTGGCGAGTCCAGTGCATGGCTATACAGCTGCAGTCATGGGGTTCTTCTGCCTGGGATCCTGTTGCCTGTACTGGTAGTGGTCTGGACTGGTCCCACGGTGTCGGACAATTTCATGATAAGCTGGTGCTCGGTGGGACTGAGGAGGGGAAGGTGGCACGTCTTGTCGGAGGGGTCCTTTATGCTGGTTTGTGACGGGCTGGGCTGGGTAATACTGGGGGTACCTCAATTCTGCCACTCTTGTGTCCGGTGCGCGGATGTGGTTCCCCTTAGATGGGTGGATAACAGGCTGTCCTCCTTGGTAGTAGGGAAGATCTCTCTCTTTGTATGTTACTCGTGGCCCTGTTAAATATTCTAGTGGCTCTGCAGGTCCACGCCTGAGGAGGAAAAAACATAATAAAGCACATAAAAAGGCAGTCTACTAGGCCAGTGATACATTATTGTACTTACAATCTATGTTTACTTTGGGAAAGGAAACGCCACCTCAAGCATGACAGGTCCCAATGAATCAAAAGAACTTCTGAAGGATAACAAGCCTCCCACCTGCACGCTACAAAAGTCAGTAACATCCAGGACACTGGAGGAAGGGTCCAGCACACATCACAGCCCTTTTACAATGGGGGAGCACTGAAGCCCTTCAGTTCCCAAAGTCAGTCTCCTGTGATCCATTTGCCATAATGGAAACAAAGCTCCTTTAAACAATGCATGTTTGACTGAATCTTATCTAGCCTGAGGATAAACAGATGAGTTGGGTCTGCAAGTCTGCAAATCTCATAAGCTTTACATGCACAAATATTCGCACTTTCCAAACCATTTCCCACTATTCTCTCCTAACATGTCAGACTGTAAAACTTTCCAAACACCATAGTTGGAAAAACTGGAACTCCTGGAAAAAACACTAGGGATGTCAGGCTACAATACCTGTGTTTAATGGGCAAGCTGCCAATGGAGTTTCAAAAAACCTGTAATCTAGAAGGCCTGCTATTACAACAGCCCTGTAACTTGTCTGCATCAGTATGGATCTGACAGCCTCTATTTCGCGTGAAAAGCAACACGTGAACATGTCTTCCCTGAGGATGTGCCATGGAGCCCTCTCTATCTTAATTTCATGATTTGCACTAATGAAGCATTGATATTTTTTCCTAGTACAACTTAACTTGTGATACTTTTAAAATGGCAAAAATAATTGTTCTCACAGACGTGTCACCAGAGCATGCCCAACAGCTCAACTCAATTAGGAGTTTTTGCCCGTCTGACTGCAAATGTCTTTGCACTTGGGCAAAAACACCCATTGAGAGCTGAAGGAGGACAACAGGGTTTTGAACCAAAACAGGGGCTGAAAGTATAAATCAGTTACACCTGCTCTGTGGCTTTGGTACTGAACTCATTGACTGTTTAAATATTCTTTGCATAGATCATGAAAAAAAAGTCATTCCGGTACAGCAGATCAGGTGTTCAAAATTTGTCAATGACTCTCTTGTTCACACAGAGATTTTACAAGCATTCTCCTCCTTTCTAATCCAGGCTCCCAGACTTTGCTGAAACTTGTTTAGCATGTAGTAAAACAAAACATGTGGTTTTCTGCTGCACTCGTTTAAGCCCATGGGGTAAATCATGGACACAGGCAATGAACAAACATTATCTGCCTTGAAATGAACCTACAATTCTCCTCCTGGAATAGCTTAATGCAAATGTTTCCTGTTTAAAATGGAAAGAGCAAAAGGAAGCATTCCAGGCCTTGGACTTTTAGGACCCTATGCTCCCCAGAGACTTTCTGCTTTAAAAACAGAACATTATAAAAGACAGGCACTCCCAGCTTCCCCCCCTCACCTCCTGGTGAGACAGTCCAGACAAAGTGCTGAAGGGCCTGAAGCCACCCTCTGAGATACTAAACCACTCTTAACTGCATGCATTGAGACAACTGCTGTCGCTGCTCACACACCTACGCCTCACAACAAAGTCTAATTTCCACAGAAGGCCAAAGAGCTGCTCCATGTATTTCTACGTGAAGTCTTTTTCACTAATCAGTCCCATCACACTCAGCTTTAATTCCTCTGTGCATAAAAATGTACTTCCAATCATAAAAGACTCTGCAACAGTAGGAACTGCTTTGTGTCAAGCAGCACACCAACAGGAACAAATGTCAAACCTATCCATCACCTTTTAATATAAGGATAATGCTCAAAATCCTGTACATTATGTTTTAGAAGATGTTCTCATCAGCAGCTATAATCAAGCAAATTCTTGTGAATCACATTACCTGAAAAGCGAGGTACCTTTTGCACAGAGCTCTAACTGAAACGTTGAATTATTCTAAAAAAAACCACGATTTCAAAATTGGTACAAAAAGGACGGTTGAGAATAGGACTGAGCTACCAACATCATGTACTGAGCCTTCAGTACACAAACTCAGGCCTCAACTGACACAAGAAGCTGCAGGAAAAAACAAGGATGTGTTTTGCCATCCAGCCAGAAGAGCAGTTCCCAGGAAAGCTCAGCTGCTGTAGTTCTAGGAATCAGTGTGACGCTGCTGCCACAGAAGTTGTTACTGTGCAGAGGGTAGTGCATTGAGGCTGCTATGACCTAGGACTGCCCAATGAAGATGAGCCTGACCAATCAAAGCGTGCCAGACATGAAAAATGGACCCGAGCTGCTTGAGCTTGTGCCATCAGGTCTCTATTGCTGTTACCTATCCTACCAAATCCAATCCACCATTGGTTTGCTTACAGGTAACACCATCGGTGGTTGTGTAGACCAACTGCAGATGAACATGTGAAAAGGGCAAAATCTTTCTTTAAAAAATAAAGAAACATCCAAGTTGTTCACTCTCAGGACCAGCTACCCTTCTCTGAGGGTGAAACACCCACAGGTCGTACAAATTCTTGAGTGCCTTCCCCAGAGACAGGACTTAGCAGCTGGAAGGAGAGGTTGTACACAGAGAGCAGACTTGAATCCACTTCAAGAAAAGCCTGAGAAAGACCAAAGGCATGTGAGTTTTTTTAGCAGCCTTAGGGATGATAAAAGCAGTGATCTAACCAATGATTACCAGAACTCTCGCACGAGTAAAACTTTGGAAAGCACTGGTAACTGCCCAAAAGGCTGACCCTGGTCAGCATGACTGAGGGAAATTTCTCAAAAGATATCTACAGGACACTCTCCAGCTCACTTCCCCATGTGATCCCAGTGGGTGTTACATATGCAGATACACAAACTAGAATGACAACACTCTTCTTCCCTGTTACGCCCAGCAGAGCACGTTGGAGATGAATTATTTCCTGAGGATTCATTCTTCCCCATCTACCAGCCATGCCTGATAAAGTCCATTCCTAGGGAGCTACTCACAGTGCAACCAACCAGCCAGCCTAAAGAGTCTCCACAAACCTCTGTGTGACAAACCTTAAAATACAGGAAAAAACAGCCCTTCCCTCCTCAAGGGTGTCAAATTAACCATAAGAAAGTCAATCTTTTCAAGGCAGAAGAAACAGCTGCAGATACCAAGCTCTGGCTGTAGGAATGCTATCACCCTTAGCAGTTAAGTCTGGGACACTGGGGGCAGCAGGGCTCCTCTGAACCAACACCCTTTTCACTTGATAGCCCATGTTGTAAAAGTACATGCTGTTGTTTATCCTTAAAGAAATTGCCATAGCAACTCAAACCAAACACTTTCTACTTGGCAGCCCCTTGTAGATGCTGTGCTTGTTTCTGCAAGAAGGAAAACAAGTCCCGCCTTTTCACTCGGCAGACACTACCACCTCTGAGGAGGCCCTAATGAAATCCTTCTCCCCTCTCTCACTGTTTTTGTTGGCTCCTGATGAGTTCAGAGTTCACAGGGGCATATCACACCTCCCAAGTGACCTACGATGTGGGGGTCAAACCAATAACCTCAAGTGGAAAATCAGCGACCCAGGGGAGTGATCAAAAATCCACAAATTGGGTCAAGCAGGTCCAGCCACTCAAAAGGACCAGGCCAGGAGTGTGCCCTCTGAGAGGACATGCTGGGTAGGAGCTGCTCTGGCCGTCAGCTGTTTTCCAGATTTTCGGCCAGTTGTTTGACCTGGGGATACAGTGCAACTAATGGCAGGCAGAAGGCAGGGAAGCTGACACAACATCCTGGGAAGTCACTGATCTCAGAGCTCAAAAACTGGTTTTGCTGATAGTTCAGCTCTGCTGGCTCCTATTAGAAAGTGCATTATGGATGCAGGTCTAGCTAAAAGCAGAAGCTGCTGCTGAAGAAAGCACTGACAGGAAGGGAAGGAGAAGCACCAGGTTCCAGAAAGGAGTGAAACTGGCAGAGCAGTGTGAAAATGTACTCCTCAAAAATGTCACAGACAAGGTGCCCCTTAAAATTTTTTTTTTTTTTGTGGGTTTGTTTTTTTTTTTTTTTTTTTTTTTTTTAATTGTGAGGAAGCAAAATCTCACCTTCCCCTGCAGGGAAATTATAGTTCATACACACAGGTGGTTGCTAATATGTTTCACTGTATCATTTCATATTCTGGATAGCAGCTCTACAGGTTAATCGTCTAAAATTATTCACCAGGTAACAACTGCAATCCATTTGGAGCATTAAGAGCCAAAGTAGCCTTGTCCAAATAAAGCAGGCAACTTGTGACTGATGTTCAATTAACGTGTTGTTATTTTCTCTATGACAAGTAAAGCCTAAAGTAGTTTGTTTTTCTATCTCTGCTTTATTTATCTTCCAAGCACGGAACAGAAAATCTAGCATTTTCTGGTTTTGCTGCAGAATTTTCAAGAGCTTCTGGGTTTACTTAAAACTGAACCACAGGATTTGGAGTACTTAAGAAAGGCTTCTTTTACCCAAAATGTTATTTAGTCATTGAAGTTAAACAGGTTTAAAAAACCCAACTAAACAATTTTTGCTTTCTGCAGTTCCTTTTTTTTTTTAAACCCCCATTTCAGTAATTCTTCAATTGCAGGAAATCTTACAGAGTAGACTGGCCTAAATACTCCATGCTTCAAAAAACAATCAGAAAAAAAAGTAATTAAATTTCAGGTATACTGCATTTCGTGGATAACCCCCATTTGCAGGTCACCTTTAACATCAGCCAGGAGACACATGCTCGGGCTATCTAAAACGAAAGGAAATCAAAATGATGGTCTAGCTGTTCGTGCTGTGCCCCATCACGTTGGGGGTTTGGATTTCATCATGACAAAGAGTTTTTCTTCCCTCTGTTCTATAGGGAGAGTCACAGAGGTCACCCTCTTAGTACCTGGTAAAAAGCAAGGAAGGGAATGCTCTCTTCTTACATCACTGTCTCCTCCTTGCTGCTGAGGGAATATTTTGCAAGGGATATAATCTCACATGAAAAACTGTCTTCTTACTTTGTCAGGGAGTACTTCTTGAAATAAACTTCAAAGA